GTGCATTTTTCGAGCCCTGTATATATATATATATATAATTTGTAAGCCCATAGGTGAAACGAGAGTACAGTCTATAATCTATTTCTTTCTCTGATTCTTTTGTATTCGAAGAGAAGTTTAAAGTGCTACATTTTAATTGGTAACTTCTAATTAATAATACATTTGTTTGGAAAATTAGAATCCCTATTCCTTTAGTGCATCGTTTTTTACAGTTTCCACTTTTATATATTTTCAGGTGTGGAGCACGAGTACTTGTGAATTTGTTCGTACACTAAATGGGCACAAACGTGGCATTGCTTGTCTACAGTATCGAGATCGTCTAGTTGTAAGTGGATCATCAGACAATACCATCAGGTAAACTGGTAGAATGAGTGTAAGAATAAAAGAAGCTGCTTTATTTTAATGTTAGAGAGTGATATTGCTTTCTGATAAAAATTTCACTATACCCATTTTAATAATTGAATCTTTCTTTTGCACAGATTATGGGACATAGAATGTGGAGCATGTTTACGGGTGTTAGAAGGTCATGAAGAGCTTGTCCGGTGCATTCGATTTGACAACAAAAGAATAGTCAGTGGAGCATATGATGGGTATGAATTCTTTAAACTGTATGTAGGGTTTTTTTTGAATACAGGTTTTTTGAACTAGTTATAGTGCCATTTACACGAGGACTGGACACTGGCAAACAAACTGTAAGCAAGCCAACAGGGCTTAATCCCTACCATGAACAGGATGCTGCAGTTTCTTGCTAGACCTCTCTAGGAGTCTCAGCAGTGCAGCCATTGAGTGCAGTTTTTCACCCAGCCAGGCGTGCTTAAGGATTTTAGTGTGACAGTCCTGCTAAACCTCCATAGGGCAAGTCTGGATGTGCCCTCTTACTGCTCCCACTTTTTAGTGCTTTTCAGCATAAAGTGTATTTCTACATTTGCAATCAAATTTGAGAAAACCCGTCTGTGTTCCCATTCACACTGCATAATGAAAAATTATTTATAATAACATTTCTTACCTTTTTAGATGTTTTGTTGCAGCAGTCAACATGGCTGATTTCAGGTTTTTCTGAGCACCTTCACAGTGATCTGTCCTTGGTAAAAATTGTGTTTCTTTCATTAACTTCATTAACATTTTAATGCGAAATCCATGGTTGCAATCCTTTAACCCCTTACCGCCCCTCCCAGCTTAAGGCTGGGTTCACACCTAGGCGGATTGAATATGCAGGTTTTTCGCTCGTTTTTTTTTGCGGTAAAAAAACAGCGCGAAAACTGCGCGTTTCCGAGGGATACTTGGCTGTATCCCAATGGAACCGCCCAACCAAAATGCCCCAAAGAAGTACATGTACTTCTTTGGGGCATTTTGGTTGGGCGGTTCCATTGGGATACAGCCAAGTATCCCTCGGAAACGCGCAGTTTTCGCGCTGTTTTTTTACCGCAAAAAAAAACGAGCGAAAAACCTGCATATTCAATCCGCCTAGGTGTGAACCCAGCCTTACCGAGGAGGAGAAGCGAGTAGAAATTTGAATCCTTATGAAGCCAAGAAACCCTAAGTAAAAGCAATTTTAACGGCAAGAAAAAAAAATTACATTTCTTTTTTTAGCTTATGCTATTTGAAAGGGAACATATAGCAAATATAAAAAAGTGTTATCCCAATTTGGCTGTAAAAGTGGAAATACACTTTAAACTTTGGTCTGTGGGTGCCAGAGGTTTTCCAGGTACAGAGCTGCGATAGCATAGTGCTTGATTCGGTCTCAGAAGATTCCCTTTCCTTTGATCATCCAGCCACAAGTATTGCTGCTGTAGATTCTTTCCTTGGTCCTGTTATGCATGCGGTTCATCCATTTATAGTGAGAAGGACCCTCAAAGCAAACAGTCCTCTTACCCTTTGTCAGCAGTTTTGACCTTTTTATACCTTTGTTCAAGCCCTTTATTCCCAAGTTAGTGTTTTTCTCTTTGGTTATGGAGGATCTATTTTAATCAAATTCTGACTATTCCTAATTGCAAAGCTTGCAAGCGCCACTAAGCAACCTTTCCTTCTGCATCTGAACAGAATGATGGGAGCTGCTGGCAAATCAGTGACTGACCCTCTCTTTTATTAGGAGTCCATTCCATCCCTAGGCCTGGAACCTTTTGTTTTGAGGGTTTGTAGTATACAACCACCACCACCGCCGTCTCTGAAGCCAGAATTACAATTCACATCAGGCCCAAAACCAGGATCTTCATTTGGGCCTTAAGAGAACTCCACTCATACACCCTTGTTATGAGCTCCTCTGTGGCAGGGCTGGCAGCCAATCTCTGGACATGGCATCACGTGTTTATCAAAGGGCGGCTATGCAAATCCTGTGGCGCTGATGTGAACTGTGATGAAAATGGTTATTTGGAGGTTCACAGTAGTATTGAAGTTTACAGCTGCTTTGTTTTCATTAGTATTTTTTGTTTGAGTAATTTTTTAGGTAGTGAGAGTGTGTGTGGACCAGTGTTTGGACCTTAGTGCTGTCAAGGACCAGGTCCCTTTCTTGGCTATCCTATTGCAGACTTCTTGCATCCCACTCTCTTCTCCAC